TACAAGGTGTATGGGCAATAATGAGTGAGAGATGGATGAAGGGGCTCACTTTCGCCCACGAACCCGAGGTCAATGAGCTCGGCTTTGCTCAGGTCGACGATATCTGCGGGAAACGCTCAGCACTCGTAACGAAGGGGAACGACGGCGCCACTCACTTTTGTTCGCATAGGCTGGGTCCATGGTGGAACAAAATGCGTAAGGGGCGCTGCCTACCTATTTTGGAATGCCACTTCCCTTTTTTGACGTGTGGAGAAATCTTACATCATCGCGATTCTTGCCTGCATCGTGAGAGCAGGCAGAGTCTAAGCCCGAGTACGATGAGAATGGGCTACTATACCACTCGGCCTCGAGGGATGGTTGGTTGGTTGGTCGCTGGAGGTCCTTAAAAAATTTCTTGACATAGATGAAATCTTGGGATTTTTGGCCCTTTTTGGAGGTATCTTTGGTCCATAGTGACCATTTGCCCCAAATCCAAGGATTTTGACTTAACTAATCCTCCAGCCGCCCTCCATTCCACCTCTATTTTCTACTTGAAAGTCTTAAAGAGACTTAGTTTAATATTCCAGAGACTTAAGTTGAGTACAAATTAGATTGAATATCATTATCAATCTACAGATATGGCATAGTCATCACAAGCAATGAAGCTATAGAATTTGATGATTTGAAAGCATTTGGAAATCATGTTAACCTTGCTCTTGACAGCTCTCAGTATTGTATGGCAAGTTTTTTCATTGATTCAATCAGCCCTTTGTGGTTGGTCCGAAATGTAGAACTCTACATTCACATGGCAAAAGGTCAAAACGAGACAAAAGGGTTGATGCTAACAGGTGCAAGACTCAATATTCAAATATCTACAAGATTGTATATCATACAGCATGGCCACCGTTGAGGTACCAGGTGGATTTATGATGGCTGGAAGGGAATGTGCAGTTGTGGTGGAGGAAGAGGCCAATCAAATTGAAGACACTCGCTGAGATTGAAGTTTGCACCTTCCAAATTAGGAAGATAGTTTCCACAAGTGGTTGGATGCGCCTTACAGAATAATTCGACCCTATATCCTTAATTTTTAACTTGACACCCCATTGTTATCGTGATACTCTCGATTAGCAGCAAGTTGCGGATACTTTTGGTGGTCAACTGAACCATAAGCACTACTACTCTCGCTGAGATTTGATCCTAAAATAATACTTACCATCCAACTTCTCCGATGCCTCTACATATACGAGTCGTAGAGACAAAAGTATTGATCGATGCTTGTTTGAAACCAGCTCGGTGGCACGGAAGTGCAACCTGGCACATTCAAACTCGCAGCGACAATTGCGTAATGGCATTGGCAAGTTTAATGCTATACACCAGCAATAATACCACAGTTGGCCACCAGTGTAGGCTGATCATCCTTGAGCCTTTGGCTCGCAATTCACGGAAGGAAGTCGGAAACGAGGATGGATTATCAAGGTCACCTAAAGCAGCATAGCAGACATACCATACGAAGAACCCCAGATCGTAGCAAATGTGGAGAGCAACAAGAAAGCTTCAGCAACAGCGCAAGTCCCAAGATAAAACGCATCTAGTCATCGAGAATGTCCACGCAGAAGATCGTTCAGCTCAGATCCATCCCTCCTTCCTGCACCTCCTCCGCAGGTGCGAGCCCAAACCATTCTGGCAAAGAAGCCCAGACCTCCTCCCGTGCTTTCAAAGTACACGCCGCGAAATCCACCTTGCATGCCGGACAGATCTTGAGGCCACACTGTCTGTACCCGTCCGAGAAGTCCTGGCGCGAAAGCATTTCCATCGCCTGCGTGAGCGTGAACAATGTGTCCGCGTCACGCCCGCACGCGATACCCCCTATCGAGCGCAGGATGTTCAGCGTGATGAAGTAGTAGGACTCATGGCACGGGCGGCTCGAGTTGTACTGGAAGTGGCAGTCCGCGGAAGGCTTGCGCTCCTGGAGCGACGTCATGATGAAGTTGGCCATGGAGCGCTGGACGTGCTCGCGCCCTCGGAGTGCTCGTTGGACATTCTCGCGGGTGAGGAGGACGGTGTGCGCGACAGGCGGCGGCCCCGGCACGGTTTGCGATGAGGAGCAAGACTGTAGGATGTACATATCTAGCGCGGAAGGCGGTCGAAGTGCACCGGACATAATCTTGCTCGGTCCATACCTGGAAAGGTCGTAGAAGGCAGCCGGAAGGATTGAAGGGATCCCGAGGTCGAGGGCAAGTTCGATGATGAGAACGGGGTGTGGGCATGATTCGCGGGGCATGTACCGGCCGAGGGAATCAGTGGCTTGGGCCTCGCGGAGATCCCATCCGGCGAGAGATGATGGCCAGTCGAGGGCGAGGCGGTTCAGGCAGCGCTGACGGAGGTGTTCGACGAGGTATTTGGTGGAGAGGCGGAGGACACTAGCGATGGCCATGAAGTCGTTCGCACGGGGATTCTTGAAGTACCTGTAATTTGCATGATGGTCAGCCATTAGAATCACAATAAAGAACGAAGTGACCCACAGGCCATCGTAAAGAGCACTTAGGAAGTAGAAAACGTCCGATGGATTATCGTGGAGCTCGACGTACATGCAACCCTCGAACAGGTCATGGTCGTGGGGTTGTGGGATGGAAAAGAGGTCGTTAAAAACATCGGAGTGGCGTTCGAGTTGACCGCGGTGAACCTTGAATGCCGCCGGGCCAGCGATGATGACGATGTTGCCGTCGAGAAACCAGAAGTCCGAGCGGATGAGACCACGAGAAGCAGCTGGAGAACCTGGGGGGTATACAGTCCTAGTTGCCTCCATGGTGGCGCACTAGTCTGAACAAGGCGAAGGGGAAGGAACGAGGATGGGGATCTCAGGAGAAGCCCCGGTTTGGTCGCACAAAAGAATTTAAAGATGGGAGGCTGACGCTCAAGTCACATAGCTGATCGAATGCTTCCATGAAGAGAAATCGTTGATCAGGGACCAGCTGGTCAGCTTTGGAGGTGTAGAATCACTCCTTACAGACTTCCCCATGGCTTATGCGCGCCAGAATCTGCGGAGAAAGAGTACAGAGAGTTAGATATGCCCAACATTGGCGTGAAACGTAGACAAGAAAGATATTGAGATCAAGGAAGTCAAGTAAGTAAGGGGGTCGAAAACAAAAAAACGAGCTGGCCCTTGGAACTTTTTTTTTGTCTATGAAGGAAGGACGAAAAAACGATGCCACGTATCTGGATTGAACAAATGACCTTCTCATAGTACGTAATCATACGAGTGAGACGCGCTACCACTACGCCAACGCGGCACGCTCAGTAGTTGCAATTTTCAGACCTCGGGCCTCACGAATATTTGAATATTTGAATACTATCTGCCGACTCTTTGCCGTCAACTGCCGCTCCGGTTCAACGATAAAGATAACATTGAGAGACGGCCCGCAGAAGTGGATTCAAAAACTCGCCCTCATGGAACTCAGACAGCTGCACGATTTTCCCCCGCACTTTACCCGCACTCCACACTCGCAATGCGCGCAACACCATTCCTACGGCAAAATGCTCAATCTGTGTCTGCTGCACTTCGCGAACGAGTGCGCCGACCAGCATTGCTGAAGAAGTTGGCAGACCCAGCAGACCTGGCGCCTCTGTTCAAGGTGGGTGGGGTCGGGGTCATCCAGAATACCGAATGGCTCACCAATTTCCTTCTTAGAACGATGACTATGTACGTTTGGGTTCCCTGATGTGAATACGCAGACATGGAACCTTGGATCTTTGTAGATTGGCTGGTCTGGATTTACCGGCGTCGGATACCCAAAGACGGTGCCCACTGTATGTCTCAACTCCAATACCCTGCAATTCCTTCCTCATCTTTTGGTCCCACAGGCTATTGCAGACCATGTCGAATCCAACAACCTTCAATCCGACCCAGAAACTAAGAAAAAGTTCAATCTCTTCGTCGGCGCATCTGTGGGACCCGAAGTGGAGGATCGTTGGGCGAGGCTTGACATGTACGATTTACCGCAGGTGCAATGTGATATCTGATACCAGCATCTTACAGGATTTCACGGAGGTACCCTCACCAAGTTGGAAAGGAAGTCTCCAAGGGTATCAACGCTGGCCGCATCGAATTCGCAGACAAGCATCTTTCCAGTAGGTCGAGACATGTGTCCCTGATATCGGTCTGAATACGATCCTGTCTCGCAGTGTTTCCTCAGGACCTTACATACGGTTACTACAACCTCCGGAAAAAGCACGGCGATCCCAAGAAACCTCTTGACTGGGCGATCGTAGAAGCCACTGCCATCACAGAAGACGGGAAGATTGTTCCAGGCACGTATCACTAGATTTGCGAATACAGTACCTCCAACTTACCCATGCATAGGTGCCTCCGTCGGCGCGACACCGGAGATCTTACAATCTGCCGAGAAGATTATTGTTGAAGTCAACACCGTCATTCCAAATCTTGAGGGCCTTCACGACATCAACCAGTCCTTTGTTCCTCCTTTCAGGCAGCCATATGTGTGTGCTGTACGGCTTCAGCATGCGCGACACAACTGACCGCTTTTCCAGCTCATCAAGCACGTCAAGGACCGCATTGGCGAGCCCGCCATTACTGTCGACACCGACCGGATCGTCGCTATCGTCGAGTCCCACAAGCCCGACAACACCGGACCGAACTCTCCTGAGGTACGTCTTCCCTGTCGTAGTCAACTTCACTCTGTACTCACCAAGGGTACATAGAATGACGAGAGCCGCGCCATTGCCAGCCATCTAATCAACTTCCTTTCAGAAGAAGTCACAGCGGGCCGTCTGCCGAAGAATCTGCTCCCGATCCAGTCCGGCATTGGGAATGTCGCCAACTCGATCATTGGTGGTCTTGCTGAGGGGCCGTTCGACCAAGTTCAGGTTTGGACTGAGGTCCTGCAAGGTATGAGGGCATCTTACCCCGAGAGTTTTCACACCCAACTTAGTGGGGTTCTCAGATACTTTTATCCGCTTCTTCGACTCTGGAAAGCTCTCGTTCGCTACCGCGACGAGCATCAAATTCTCACCTGAAGGGTACGCTGGCATTTGTTCTTCCTCATAATACAAGTTATACTCATCTCCTACAGCTTCGACCACTTCTACAAGCGTCAGTCGCCGTTGTCCACTCCATCTACGCATTGACTGACGCGTACTGAATCCAGATTGGGCCGACTACAAGAACCGGCTTCTTCTCCGTTCGCAGCAGGTTGCCAACTCCCCTGAGATTATCCGTCGTCTCGGCGTCATTGCCATGAACACGCCACTCGAGGTTGACATTGTGCGTAGGATTTTTCTCCACCCTATCTTCCAAAGACTGATGCTTCTACATCTTAGTACGCGCATGCGAACTCGACCAATGCCTGCGGCTCGAGAATGCTCAATGGCCTCGGCGGCTCTGCCGACTTCTTGCGCAATGCTAAGCTGTCTATCATGCATACTCCCTCCAGGTTGGCAGTCCCTTACCCTTCGCTGATATTTCTGCGTACTGATGCGTTTGTCCTTCATTCCAGCCGTCCAACAAAGTCGGATCCCACCGGTATATCCTGCATAGTTCCTTTCGCTTCGCACATTGATCAGACGGGTGCGAAAATTCCTATGTTTTTCTCTTTCATTCATTCAAGGCTAATCTTATATGTTAGAACACGACCTGGATATTGTCGTCACCGAGCAAGGCCTTGCCGATCTTCGCGGCCTCTCCCCTCGTGAACGCGCCCCTGTTATCATCGAGAAATGCGCCCACCCTGACTACAAGGACCTTCTGCGCGAGGTATGCCTCCTCGCTTCTTGACTTTCTATTGCTTAACCCCCTCTTCACCATACTATAGTACTATGACCGTGCGCTTCACGAGTGCACGGCGCGCGGAGCGGGGCACGAGCCGCACATGCTGCGGAACGCCTTCAAAGTACGCTGTGACCTCATTTCTTCCCAGATGGTCAAATTGCTAACGTACCTCCTACCAGTTCCACACGAATTACTTAGAGAATGGGACGATGAAGATTAAAGGGTGGGATTAATTGCAATTTTCGACCGCCGTCCAGTCCATTGCGTCTATGTACAAGTAATAAGAGGGAGAAAGGACTTCCTACTACTAGGTGGCGTGTCATAAAGGTTCGTAGAGAGTAGAGAGTACTAGCGCAAGTCGTAGATACGTCGTACAGATTCCTTAGAATGAAAATTAACTAGCTAATGCGGGGCCGGTGTTACTA